TGATGCTGACCTTGAGCTGCATGTTGAAGAGTGGAGGGATAGAGTTGGGGAAAGGACAGATGGTTGTGTGGGAGACAGAATGAAAATGAGTCAGTGAGGAGTGACCAACAGTCAGGAATGATGTTTGGAGCAATGCTGTGGGCTGCAGGAGTCAGGGATACAAGTCCATGATCTCATGCCTGGAAGGTCAGTGCTCAAATCTGTAGAAGCATCAAATGTAGGTCAGTGAGCTGGGACTGTAAATGAGTGCAAGTGTAAGCCTGATGCACAAATATAGGCCTGACATAGAGATAAAGGTTTTATTCCTAAGAGTAATGCAACGACCCAAATCTTTCTACTTTGCTGCTGTGAATTAGGGTGTTTTCTGCTGTATAAATGCAAGCCTGTGTCTCAGCAGGCAATGGAAAGGCTACAGCTTCATTGTTCAGGTGATGTACTGGCATCCCCAGATTAAAACCATGGTTTTACAGCACAGTTGTATTCCAGATTCCATCTGACTTGTAATGAATCCTGATTATCATCAGACTAGTTACAGCACTTGTGTCAGGCTGAGCTCAACGGTATCATCTGCGTGTCTGCTGCTAGGTATGTGCTGAAGTGTTTTATGCAGTCAGGACCTTTATATCTTTATTTTTAGGTCAAACATCTCATTTTAGCTGAGTGTCTTACCGTTGCCTTCCACCTCTACCCTTGCATATATGTACAACATAAGTCTGATACTCAGTAAAATGGATGCCACCTGTAGTCAAATTTAACTGCAGTGAAATCAAGGCAATAGCAAAATAAACTTCTCTGGATTTGAGTGATTAGAGCCCTTTATATCAGGGTAAGATAAAGACCCTGTGTGCAGCCTCTTACCTCCAAGTGATGGGAGAGGCTTAATCCACCCCTTTTTGCATCAAATTCAACTGGAAGAAACTGTAGGACCCAGAGAGGCTTTGCTGTGGAAGACATGCAGGAGGCAGATACCAAAGCCTGTCTCTACAGTCTGTGTCAGCCATGACCACTTTGATTTGAAAGTTTTCTCCTTGTCAAGGGCAGATTCTTCAAATTTATGCTCTGTTCAGAGATCCCTGCAGTCAGTGCTGCCCTGTGCAGGTGTTAATACTGACATTAGTCTGGGAGGTTTCCTTCGTTGCTCAGCAATGCTGTATCTTTCTGACGCACCCATTAAATTAACAGCTTCCTCTAACTGAGCTGGAGGTTAACAGGATGTCAGGACATAAAACAAATTTTCTTAATGTCAGTGGAGAGCCTTTGTTGTCCCTATTAGTCACAGTGCCAAGACAAAAAGGTGTTTCTGCTCACAGGGGATCCCATCCCCAAACTGGTGTAACTGGTCAACACCCTTCCACTGATTCCCGTGGCTTTGGGGTCAGCCCTCGAGCATGGAACAGTTTGACCCTCCTGATTAATGCAGAAATCATATTTGGAAAAGATCTGTGTAGAGCTGACTCAATGTTGGGTGGTTTTTCCTTGTGTTTATAGTTATTGAGCTGTTTAACACTGGTAATTATTAAATAGGGTCACCTGGAAAGACACAAGCACTCCAGCTTTTGCCAACAAACCACTTAAGCACCTGCTTAGAGATAAGCACACATATTAAGGTAAATGGAGTTGCTCCTAGGCTTGGCGTTGAGCAGATGTTTACAGTTCATAGATTAGGAGAAACTCCTTGCTTGAAATCATCATTTTTACCCTTATTGAGCAGAAATTAGATTCTAGCATGAGAAATAATTTTCATTAAACAAAAAATGAAAAACTGTCCCCTTGCTGAACTGTCTGGAATAAGGTAAAAATAAGGTTTAAATTTGTAAATCCTTAGAGCAATGCCATTTGTCAGGAAGCAGCAAGGTGCATGTACAGCAATTATTGGAGGTGCACTTCAAAAATCTTTGCTGGAGCTTATAATATCCAGGTTTGGAATTACACACCTGCTTTGGTTGTTACAAAACAATTTTTGTAGAGACGACTCTCACACTAAAACATGCCTGACCTTCTCCTGCCAGGAATACTGTGGGAGTGTGCAAAAGCTGAGATGAAAAGAGCTCCTGGGTTGGTATACGTCCCGAAAGAGGAAGATAAATGGTAAGAAACACCCTGAATTCCACTTCTCCCTTGATGCACCAGTGCTGTGCTGGATTGTGTCAGCATCCAAAGAGAGGAAACATTTTTCCAGAGAAGTCCAGCACAAACTGAGAATTCCTATTAGGGCCACTGGGAAACTTTATAACCCTGACCCTTTGCTTGGTGATTGACTGTTTCATAGGGTGGACTGTCCCCAGCTGGGGCATGGGCAGTGTGTGTTGGTGTGTCCCCCACAAGCAAAACTGGTGCAAAGAGCAGGAAAATAAATTATTATCAGATCTTGGATGTGAATTCTCTTTAATATTAAAAATGGATAAGCTGTCTTTTTGGGAGGAAGGCAGAGGAGGGACAGGAAAGCAGGGAAGCACCGGTCCTGCGCTGGGTTGAGCAGCACTCCTGTTACAGGGATCTGCAGCATCAGCCTTTAAACCAGCTCATTAAAATCTTGATTCGTGCTGTGCCCACGGTGATGGAGGAAAGAGCCTGCCCTGCTCCCACATGCACATTTTCAGGGCTAGAGCTGAAACATTTGGCAAGTGAGTGCACGAAGCTGAAGGTTACCTGTAGGCAGCTGTTGCTTAGCCTGTGGGTGTTTCTATGGCTATTTAATTGCATGTTGCTCAGTACTAAATGAGTGAGACTTACATGAATAACCACAGCAATGCAAGTGCTGCTGCCTCTGAGATAAAGGACCTTATTTGAGAAACAAATTCTTAACTAATAATACCGTGGGCCCTGTGCACTTTTAAAAGTCTGTACTTATCGCTGATAGGAAAGAAATGGTCTAGTTCTTAAAAATAAACCCAAAAGCATTTGAAGGATGTTCCCCCCCCCCCCCCCCATTTTTCTATTCTTTTCCCAGGTTGCAAAAATAACATCTAATAATGAAATGAAAACAAGCTGAATAGTTACATTCAGTGGAGGAGGGAAGAGGTAGTCGCAGACAGCTGGAGCATGTCTGGGCCAGTGTCTCGGTTCTTTTCTTTCTGCTAGTTCAGTGCCACTCCAAGAATGCAGACAATGCTGGCCATGACTGTTTCATATTTGATTTCCACACTTAAATCTGTGCTTGTTAAACAAAACCCCATTGTCAGGCTGGCACACATCCACGCTGCCTCCTTGGGTCCTGCTTCAGAGCTTGCTGTCTGGGCTTGAGGGTCCTGCTCACATCCCTTCAGTGAGGATCAGGTATGCCAAGAGCATTTTGCTGTTTTTGCGCTGCTTGTGGCGTTGCAACAAAAGCTTTTGGACTCTTCTTGCAGCCACATCCATGGATAACCCTCATAAATCTTGATTTGAGGGCAGACAGAGTGCTGCAGGGAAGGGATGGGGGTTTGGGACTGCCTCAGGAGTGGTGGATCAATGGGGCACTCGGCTGGAGTCGGTCTCTGGGCGAGGTACTGGCTGTGTCACCCGGGGGAGAAAACACTTGGACAAGCAGGGCCTGATTCTGCAGAGGACTGGTACCCTGCCCTGCTTAGGGAGAGGTGCAGCTGGGGATGATTTGGGTCTTGGTGAGGTCCCAGGGATGCTCTGCTGGAACAGGGCCATTGGGTTCAGCAGTTGCAGAGCTTTGCTGAACGTGGGCAGGAGAAATGTTGTGTGTTGGGAGCACACGGACTGTGAGTAACAAAGTATCACTTGATATCTCCTGTAAAATACCAAGGAGGGCATGAAAATTATGAATCTTATTAATAAGATTAGGGGACTGTGAAATGCAAGAGCTGCTCAGTCCTTTAGACTGAAGACCCTTCTGGTCTTTCTCCCTCAATAAGATGGTTCCATGGTCCAATACCTGCCTGTCCACCCCTTGTGCAGCGTAACTTATCAGTCAGTAAATGCCAGTGCTGCCACTGCAGGCAGAGCTCTGCCCAAGGCAGTTGGCAGCCCTTTGTGGCACGAGAGGAGGGAGAGGGGATAGGATGTGGCTGTGGTACCGTGGGGTGCGATGCTGGAGCAGGAGGAAGCACTGGCAGTGTTTTGATTCTTCAGGTGTCCCAGAGGAGCCCACTACTGGGCTGTTGTCATGGAAACACTGGCTTTTTTCTGCGATTCAAGACTAGCTCCAAATAAAGGTTAAAGGAAAGAAAAACTCCAAGGGACAGCACGTACAGAAGGTGAGATTTCCCTCAGCACAGCAAAATTTGTGAATGTCTGAACTAGGTGTGGGGGCTGGAGGAATGTTGGAGCTGGAAACTGATGCTATGCTTCATGCAGGAGCTGCTTGGGAGCATGGTGATGGGCTCTGGCTCTGCTCTGGGTCACCCAAAGGCCTGTTTTTCCTCCTGCCCTCACCTCTCATCCTGCTGCACTGTCGAGGTGCTCCTGCCTAGGACTCTACCTGGAGCAGAGATAAGACATGCTGAATGGTGGTTATTTTTCACACTTCTCTTGCTGTTGAGGTCTATGTTGGGATCAGTTCCATGTCTGTCTCGTATCTAGGTCTGTGCAGGTTTTGACAGCTCTGTGTGTTAGTGGCAGAGCAGCATTCAAGCCACAAGGAAGAGCAGAAAGGCAAATCTTCAGGTTCTGCTTTCTGTAATGACAAAAGCAAACTGTATAATTTCCATAAAATTTTGCCCAGCCTTTAAATTCAGAGGCCCAGGCTACACATGGAAAAGGTATGTCCCTTTAGGTAAAACAGCACTGGCCAAATTACTGGTTCATAAAGTGATCTAATGTAACGAACCACATGGCTTCAGCAGCACTACTGATCCCTGTGGGAGGGCATTCAGGACCTGCCTGTCCTTGCCCAGCCACCCTCCTGGCAATCCACCTGCACAACTGTGACTGATGCTCGTGTTCAAATGTCCAAATTGCAGCAGATTCGCAAAAGTCATCACAAAACCCAAATCTGCACAGAATACAGCCAGACTCAAGCACGGGTCCAGTATTTTCAAGGTGAGGGGGTATCACTCATACCACAATGAGTCTTTGCAGAGGTTTGGGAAGTCAGCACAGGGGAAAGGGAACAGAACTGCAACCCAGGCAGCTGGTCCCAGTGATCCCAGCCAGCCAGCAGTAGCAGGATGGGCCAAGGAGCAAAGATGCAACAGCAGCAGAAAATTGCACTGAGGTGCCTGTGATGCTCAGGATGTTGAAGGCAAAACTGGCCTCCCCCTGAAATGGAGACAAAAGCATTTTATCACTTTTATGACCTGCTGAGTGATTATTTATTTAAAAAAAAAAAGCCTTTAAAACTAAAGGGCTCAATATTTTTGTATTTCTTCATTTCCAACTTGGATAAACCCCTCTTTTTTTATATATTTAATCTCCTTTATTCTGTGTCCAAAAAAGGATGTGATGGTAAGGGAAATTAGCAACTTGAATGTCATGAACTTATTAAAGAGAAATGCAGATTTTTATTTTTTTTACAAGAAAGACAAAATCATTGAAACCATATTTTAATAAGAATACTAGAAGAATAAATTGGAACAGGTATACTTATACAGTTTGTCATATAGTATTTAAGTACAATGGGTGGCCTTTAAAATTTAAACTGCATAGTTGAATGCTTAAAAAATTCCTCACAGAAAATGTGATAGGAAGTGGCAGAATGACTGTGCTGGTGGGACGTCTAATGTGCACCATTGGTGAGCCCTGCACAGCACATTTGACCCACAATATCAACAAGAGAAGTGCCTTTCTCTTTGATTGCATTGTCCAGGTTAACTCCGCTGCTCCCTTGCTGCCACCTGCATGTGACACCATACAGACTCCTAGACTTGTCACCCTGCCTGATGGCACCACCTACTCTTGCCCTCAGCAGGATTTTGGCCTGGTTGAGCTCAGCTCTGAGGTAGGTGAGTGAAAAGCTTTGCTGGATGCTCAGCTGCCCTGGCTCTTGTGCCTCCTCCTTGTCTCGGCACATCCCTGCCCCAGAGGGCTTTGCTATGGAGCCAGCTCCATCCTTTGTGCCAGCTGAGAGACTTTTCCATGCCGGGGGAAGCCTTAGAAGAGCTTTTAGAAGTAATTTAAATTTCCTTTGATCCAAAATCTCTGCAGGTAAAGAACTAATGCTATTAGAGCAGGCAATAACTGGCTGCTGTGCTGGAGTCTCCCGGGGAGCAGAATGGGCTCTTCTCTACCAGGCTGGAATAATTGTTCCGTGTTCCTCCCCTGTCCAGTACACAGAGAGAGGCTTCAAAAGGGATTGGACTGTGCAGAGTAAAGTCAGGACCATGGTACTGCTGGAATGCACTCAAGGCCAACTGGGAGTGTCCTGGAGGAAAGGCTAAAATTCACCTTTTGTGGAGTCAGGCACGATATCACATCCTTACTGTGCACAGCATGCTCACAGATGATGTTTAGTGTTGGCTGCCAAAAGGCCACTGAAAAGTGTTCTGTGCATCTCCTTCATTTGCTATTCCATGCTCCTGAATGTCCTGACACTGAAGTACCTCAGGGCACTTGTAGAGACATGGCCATCCCCAACAGGACACCATGCACACCACCACGCTGGCACTGACCACCACAGCACACCAGCTTTCACTGGGATTCTCATGCTGACAAATGGGGAGCAGGGAAGAAATTCAGGATGCCACAAATGGGAGTGCCTGAAGAAAACTCCAGGCAGTGCAGAAGTTTAAGGTTATTTTAATGTCTGCTTCATGCTGCTTTTATCACTCTGGACAAGGAAGGAGTTTGGGGTTGGTTATCCTTCCCAAGTGCTGCCAAAGGCACAGCAGACCTTGTGTTAGTCAGTCAGGTCCTGATCAGGGCAGGGTATGTTTCATCCCTGCCCTTATTTAGGAACCAGTTTTGCCTGGAGGGCGTTATCTGTGACACACACAAGCACAAGTTCATTCATTTGAATGTGCCAGCACTAATTCTGCCTTGCAGGCTGGAATCTTTTTTCCCAGTGTAAGCATCTTGGACCCACATGTATCTGTGCTCCTGGCTTCAGGGTGGTGAATGGAAAGAAGAGCTGAACTTGTGCTAAAGGCAAAATCTGTGTCTGAGAACAGAAAATAGCACAATCTGGGCTGTAATTTCTGGTGCAACGTAGCACACTGTATCAACACAGCTCCACAACCTTAAGCGACAGTGTCCTGTGGTTTGATTTTCATTCTGGCATGCTAAAATGCAGTAAGACCCATTTTTTTTGTGGCACTTTCCATTTTTTATTTAGGGAATTTGAAAAATACTTGTCCTGAGGCTGAGCCTCAAGTTATGATCTTGGCATATCCATACCATTAAATTCCCGTGGATAAAAGCAGAAACATCTGGATTCATGAGTGGATGTTGGCTAAATCCACCAGAAAAAAAAAAAAAAAAAGCCTTCAGGGGATCCTAGAGGGTTCTGGCCAGGATAAATAATACAAGAAAACAAGAGTGCTAGTAAGAGTAATTGTAACACTGAAGCCAAATTATAAGATGACGGCCAAGCCCTTTTCACAATCTGCTTTTCCAGGGAAGAGCCCTTCAATTTACACTTAACACACGTGGCTGATGGAACAAAGGAAAAGTTGAAGGAGGATGAAAGCAGTGCAGAGATTATTCAGCCTTGCTGGTTTAGCTCCAGGCACATCGTTTAAATGAATAGATGATCAGTTTCCAGTTTGTTTTAAATTTTCTGGCAAGAAATTTTATGCTCTATCCCAAAGTTGGATATGCTTAAAACTCTTTGTGTTTTTATTTTAAGGATCTGCCATTTTGTTTTTATTTCTTAAGGCGAGACTCTGGAAGTGCTCTGCAGGAGACACCTGAGTGCTGAGACTGGAAGAGCAGCCTGGTTATGTCCCTGATGGGGCCTTGTCCCTGTTCCCAGCTCCCTGGGGACCCTGGGATTGGGGAACGTTTACTCCTGTCACCCCCCATCTCTTGGAGGCTGAGCCCTGCCTTGCTAAGCCATATGCTATACCTGAGCTCCACAGCACCAAAAGCCAAGGGAAGTGGCCAAAACTGTTGTCCCACATACACCTGCAGCCTCTTTGGCTGCACTCTGTTGTACCAGCACTGCTCACCTGGTTTAAAGCTGGTGGAAGGAGAAAGGTTTGTACTGCTTGCCTCTTGCACCTCCTTTCGGTGTTTTCAGGGTTAAATGCTGCTGAACAGCACATCCTTTGCCACCCAGCCCCTTCCTCGTGGGTCTCCTCCTTGCACCAGGTCCCCAGAGCTGCCATGAGCATCAGGTCGTGCAGCTTGTCTTCCCCTGCTGTGACAGGGTGAATGACAGCAAGTTGTATGAATGTTGTGAATGAAAGTAAGTTGAATGTTGCTGAAAATGCCCTCAGCACACCAGCCCTTCCCAACCACTGCAGTCAGCATTTCTCATGGCCTGTACTTTGCCCACGCAGATCTGCCTTACCTTCACTGACCTTGCACATCACCGTTCCCGATTCCTGGAAAGCCTTGGATGTTTGCCTGCTCTGTAATCTTCAGCCAATGCATTGTGGGGTGAGTTGCTTCATTGTGCAATAAAACCCCACATCGGTCAGTCCTTGTCCCATCCTCCTTTTTCACTGCCCCTCTTCTTCCCTGTTGTCCATGCCACAGCCGACCTGAGGGAGCTGATCTGTTGGCACTGCTCCAGGAGGTCCTTCTCCTTGGACAGGCTTTAGGTTGTCCCCCATGGAGATGCCTCCTATGATGTGCTGTCAATGCTCAACACTCCCTGAAGACTGACACTGGACTCTGAGTGGTAAAATGTAGGTTTGGGGCAAGACAATACTTGAAGTATGACTGGAAATACCAGTGATGCACAAATAATGACGTTTAGGCTGCCATATGTTCCAGAGAAGGAATAATCCTGTTTACACTGCAAGGAGTGGGAGTTCAATTTGCCTTAAAATAGCCTCAACGTATCTAGGAAATCCATAAAAAGGACACCCTGGTATTTCTTAGGACATTATTTTCGGCAGATACATTTATTTAATTTGCTGCCAACATCTGTCATTTCCTCCACTGTTTCCCAGCACCCACAGTCTGGGTCTGAACTGAAAGCTGACAGGACCTAACAGAAAAAATCGAGTGCTGCTTCCCGTTAGCATCGCGGCCATCAAAGTGAAACAGGGAAATGCATCTGCTCATAGGTGATGTTACAAAATATTTGTTTTAGATTAGCTGCTTTCCCAGCCACTGTCCACGTTGGCAGTTGTGTTCCTCCACCCAACTTGGAAGGCAGCAGGAAGGTCTGCTGGAACTGCAGGGCTCTGGGTTAGGAACAAACAGTTTGAGAAGCTGAGGAGTGAAGGAGGAAGCAGAGCTAAATTTAGAACCCCCAGATAAGAAAAATACCTGTATCTTCAGTGCACTGTGGTTTTATTTTGTGAGGCACAAAACACACCTTGGCGTTGCACGGCTGTTTGCAGACTGTACTGACTCAAAGAGGGCTCATGGAAAAAGGCTTTGATGTCTTCAGTAAACAAATAGCAGCGTTAAAAGATCTTCAGTTCTCTTGTGCTGCAAACAGCTACGTTTGAAGAAAAGTAAACATCCCAAGGTTGATGGAAGGGTAGGGAAGCCATAAAGTGTTACAGTCAACTCCTTGCTATAAGGACAACAGAAATTACAGTGCTGTGAAAAACTGTTTCTTTCTCCTTTTGGATGAAAAGGAAAAAAACAACTGTGTCAGGGTTTGCCAGCTATGTGGTGGGAATACATGGATATAAAACCCCATGGCTAAGTCATTGCATCTCAATCACAAGAAAAACACCACTTCCACTGGAAAAAAAAGGGTAGGATTCCCCTGGAGATACCTTTGTCCAACCATTAGGGTGAAGGGGGGGGAAATGCACCCTTCCTCCAACCCCTGCTTTGACTCTGCTTCCTCAGTGTTTCACCTGCTGCCACAGGGCCACCAGCACCTCCAAAACCTTGCAGCTATGGGACCTCATCTCAAAAAAACCTCACCAGCTTTTATGCTGGGCAGTCAGTTTCTATGAGGAGGCACCAGGCATGTATTGTGCTCTCAGTGAGGAGGATGAGGATTTCACACCATGTGCCTACCTGAGCTTTTACTGTGTAAAGCTTGTTATACCTTCCTCATTGCATGACTTAAAACATCCCTTTGCAAATGCTAAAAAATTAGGAAATAAACCAAAGAAAAGTGCTAAAAAATTATCACAATTACACCAACACAACCCTGGGGACACTAATTTACATTTATACACTTAATTTACACTCTTAACAATCTAAATTAGGTTCAGAAAGAGAAAGTTTGAGGCTTCTCTGTGAAGGGAAATTAAAAATCAGAAGGCTATGATAATAATCAATACACCGATATTTACTGCAAATTTAAATATTATTAAGAACCTCCAGGGAGCCTCTCACTTTACTTTCATGTTATTCTGAGCATTTATCTGTTTAAAGATAGTTCACACGAACTAGGAAATAAATAATTCAGATATAGTTGTCTTTTTCATGTCTCTGTAGAATCACTAACATCTTTCCTTTGATAACAATTTTGTTTTGCTTAACAAAACTCCATTCCAAATGGGACTGGTGAGACAAAAACTCCATCCAAAGGACCAGGGCTTATAAGAAAAAAACAGGGGAGGGAAGCAAAAATTCCAGGAAAACAAAAAATCTTATAATCCCAAAGGTAATAAGTATCCCTCTGGCAACTCCATACAAGCTCTTCCCTTCATTGTGAGCCTCTCCCTGCTGGATTGCAAGGAGAGTTTGTCACTAGAGCCAAGGCAGAAATGGCTCATAATAAACAGCAGCTCCTTAGAGACTGTAGCCATGGCATGGAGAGCTGTTTACCTGGCACCACAACCACTATTCTGTTTATCTTCAGATGTTCCTACAGAAACAGAAGGTGTTACACTGTGGCAAATAAGACTTCTTCACCCCTAGGAATATGATTTTTTTTCCAAACTCACTGCCCTTCCCTTTCAGCTATAGAAAGCCCATCCTGTGATTTCTGAATTACTCCTTCCCAAGAGGACAGGCCTCTTCCCGGCGCAGAGAGAGCCAGGGCTTGCTGACAGCAGCTGGGGTGGTTGTTTCCAACCCTGACCTGCTCATCCCAGCCAGTGTGAATCCAGCCTCTGCAGGACACGGACACGTCGTCCCGTGCAGGACCTTCTCCCCAGGGGCAGTTACTGTTGGTGTAACAGGTGTGTAACAAGGGATTTAGAGGGAATAGGCTCTAGCCGGTAGTTTGAAATCAAGTGAATCATACACTTCATGCTGTTGGTGTGTTTGCTTGCCCCAAACATGAAAGATAAGGGCTCTGAGAGCTTTGGGAGTCATTGGGAGGTGGGAAGTCGCTCCGAGGATCTGTTCCTGGGCACGATGAGGGACAGGCCTTTGATTTCACAGAGATTAGGGCTGAGCACCCCCCATCGCTGGAGCCCTGTTTCTCCTATCCACCACAGCAAATATTTTGATTGCAAGAGCCAAAGCAATTGTGTACTTTATCATCTGCAATCCCAGATTACACTGCTGATAATCATCAAACTGATTTCAGACCCATCCTCTCCCAGCTGGATGCTGCCACCAGCCAGGCTGGCACTGGGTACCACCCCAGGGCACATCCTGATTCTCCTAAAGAAGACTCTAAGGAGACAGTTGTTCTTCAGAGTAAGTCAGCTTGAAGGGTGGCGGCTCCTTGGGATGCTGTGATGACAACATCACCTCTACATGGCAGGGAAAGCAGAGTGGCAAATTTAACAAGCAGTAATTTTACCATTAAACTCACACCTCTGAAGACTCTCAATTCACCCTGTCGGGTGGGATCCAGCACTGAGCTGATTTATGGCATAGCACAGCCGGCCGCATGGAGAGTGTTTATTCAAAAAACATCAGCTCTCTTTACCAAACACTATTTTATTTCTAGTTTAATTAAAACACAATTAGCAAGGCTTGCAATTTTCTTAAATAAGCCTGATCTTCAATGGAATTAATATCAATCTCCGTTCAGTGTGCAAGTCAGTAAAGTGACACGTGGAAAATTACACATTCTTCACTCAGGAATGCAGCTTGGAGGATGACTTCATGCTCCTGAATGAGAGGAGCAGTGTGCCAGATGCGCCTGGTGCCTGACCCCTTTACAGCTCTGAAAGATCAGACGTCACTTTAAAATGTCATTTCATGCATGCAGGAGGAAGAAAGAGAGCCTGGTCGCTTCATGTTACTGAGCCTCCATTTAACTTGGTTAGGGTGGTGTGAATGTCTTAATAACATTAGGCAGAGCTCTGATCCCTGGTCTGGCTGTGTGTTTCCAATAGACACCCTGATGCCTTTCTCGTGGCCAGAGTGGTTAACAATCTGTATTTTCTTGCTATTAATTAGAAGCTGTATTTCATTCTGATGTTGAATGAGCCTCGCAGCGTAGCTGACAAGCTTGCAGTCCTCATTTCCAGTCAGGCATTGAATTTTACTGAATTGTTTTGTCTGGAGACAAAAGCAGCAAATGTGAGTATAGAATTAATACCTTTTAAATTTGTGATTGTATTTCTAAGCCACAAAAATCAGATGGTAGTCAGACTTTTCCACTCTTGGCCCTTTTTTTTCTGTGATAGACTTGAATGCCCTTTCTTTTTCTTTGCCTCTCTGCTCACTCTCAAAATCCTACTGAAAAGAATCCAGAGAGTGATCCAGGTCTCTGTAATAAGCACGTTCCCATAGCAAATTATATAAAAGCATTTTGTACACTTGTATTTTTCCTCTCCCCCAGTGCATTCCACGCACCTACACAGTCATGCTAATTAGATCATGTAATAAACTTAAATGTGGCAAAAAATCTGTTCACGGGGTATTGCAAGACAGCTGGACTTGGAAAGCAGCCAGTCATTAATTTTGTTTTGTTTGAGAAAACCCAAAGGACATTATTTTACTGAAGATGAAGCAAACCCCATGTAATAGGAGCTGTAATCTAAGGAGACAAATTATTTTATCTAAATAGTCCGCAGTGAGCCCTGATATAAGGATTTGCTTATATGAAAAAAAACCCAAAGTGTGGAAGTTTAAAAAAGCCATTAAAAATACTTAAACCTAGACTAAAAGAACTAAACTAATGTTAAGCTAAACTTGATTAGTTTAGTTAAATTTAAGTAATCAAAACTAAATGAATCTTAATCCATAATGTTAATCCATACCTAGAGAGGAGCTAAGTAGCAAGAACTTAACTGTGAGCCTCAAGTCTTTTAAACGAAAAGAAATGTCTACGTGGGATATGATGAGAGATTAAATTTGCACCCAATCAATTTTTCCAAAGATGGTCTATATTACTGTGCATAATACAGTAATCCCTGCATTTTTGTGGAAATACAGGAGCCTGAAAAGAGGGCCTACTCTGACATACCACTTAGCGTGGCAACCTTACACTTGCACGCTGATTTCTAGGGAAAAGAATAACTTTGAGCCAGTTTGACAGCAGTGTTTAACTGGTCCTGGGGTTTATGATACAGCTGGTAATGGGATCAGCTCTCAGGAAAATATCACTTCCTTAATTTCAGTTCAGATGCTATAAGTTTTGGCCACTGAATTGCATTTAAATCTGTAGATCTATTGACCTGATGCTCAAATAGAACCCCAGTAATTCTCCACAGGATCCAGGCAGGCTGGGAGCATTCCCAAATGACTGCACTTCTGCAATGCTAACACAAGCAGTGACACAGAGCATGAAGGACTGACACATTATGGAACACGGGGGAGAAGGAGCTGAGGCTGTGGTTGTGGTGTGGTGGTCCAGGAAATGCCTGATTCCATCAAAATGCCGTTAACGAAGCATGTGATAACTTCCAGCTATATTCCTGATCAACACTAGATGTTGCTGTGCTGCTACTCATATAAGCTATACATTAGTGAGGCTTTTAAATGGTATTTACTGCAATTTCCTCTTTCCTGTTTCTGTTAGACACTATATCCTGACACTATATGGCTAGGGGAGCTGCTACTTTAATTTACTTTTCCTTTGAAGCTTCAGTTTTATTTGTATAATAGCAAGTTTATAACCCTCTCAAATGTACATGTAAAACTTTACAAGCAAAAGAGACTCTTACAAGTAATAACATGAAGCAACTCCTATATGAATGCCAAATATTTACTTAAACTCTGTTTCTGGATTTTTTGCAATCCAAGGGGAATGACATTGTTAACCGGATGATTCCGGGAACAGACTGACAGCTGCAAGGCCACGGAGGGAAGTTTGTTTATAAGGGGACAAAAAAAAAAAAAAAAAAAAAAAAAAAAAAAAAAAAAATTAAAAAAATGTTTAGTGCTGCTGGGTTTCAGGCTTTTTACTCCCACGTGTTTGAGTGGGAGAAAGGACAAATCTTAGGACGTTGATTTCCCCATGGCAACAGAAAACGGAAATTACTTTAACCCCATCTAGTGACAGATGACTCATTGCTCAGCCTGCTGCTATTTTCCAAGCACTAAAACAATACAGCTGCAAAGAAAAGGCCAGTCTGTATTATCTCATAGGCTGAGCACCAGGCTCGTGGGAGAGGGCAGTTCTCTGGCTGCCTTTGCATCAAAAAAAGACAGAGCTGGAGTCTTTTGGTTACTCTTTTATCGTGTAAGGCAAACATGCCCATGTGTTCTCCATCCCTGCGCTGCTGGAATGCAAACCTGGGGCATCCCCGGGATGCAGGTGATGCAGCATGGGGTGAGCTGCTGGTGGGTGTCCCACTGCTTGGTCCTGCTTGCTCTGATTATCATGGAATGGTTTAGGTTGGAAGGAATCTTAAAGATCTTCTATTTCCAACCACTCCTGCCATGGGCAGGGACACCTTCCACTAGCCCAGGTTGCTCCAAGCCCCATCCAACCTAGCCTTGGACGCTTCCACGGATGGAGCAGCCACAGCTTCTCTGGGTAACCTGTGCCAGGGCCTCACCACCCTCACAGAAAAGAATCTTTTCCTAACATCTAATCTATATCTCTTCTCTTTGAGTTTAAAACTGTTCCCCCTTGTCCTATCTTGCATCAAGGGATCCAATGGGACATTGCCATGCTTTCAGTTTAAACATTCCCCCTTGCCTTGAATTCCATGCAATGAACTGTGCATGCAATACAGGAACTACTCATTCCCAAATGCAGCTGGATCAGGATAGCAGGTATGAGTAGGGTTTCCAGGCCCCTACATGTGAAAAAGATATCTGATGGCAGAAATGCATTGCCGTATTGCTGGGAAAGTCATAACAAATTCCCACAGGCAAAGCTGAAGTAGAAATATTTGTCTGTGAAAGATTACTATCCTGGGTGAAAGGTTGGAACTAGATTATCTTTGAGGTCCCTCCCAACCCAAAACATTCTAGCATTCTATGAAAGGGTAATTAGGGAGAGTGGTTTCTGAACAAAGATGATGGAACCATTATCTCTTGGAGGCCTTAAACCCAGATGAGGTGTTGCTGTGAAAGACAAGCCTCAGTCCAAGCTGTAGGATGAAACAGTAAGGAGGGCAGCCTTAGCAGCCCTATCTGTCTTCTTGCACCTTAGACCCCCTGCAGCAGAGCTGCACAGAGCCACCAGCTCACCTGAGGAGCATCTCTGTTGGATGACAACTCTTGCTCAGCACCTTCTGGACATGGTAGTGAAGAGCTGGTTTGGAGAGGAGGTAATTCAAGCTTGAGGATCAGAGGGTGATTCATCATCAGCCTCTTTCCACCAGCAGCTCAGTGCAGGAGGCACCTTCTCCTCAAATGCGGTTTTCTCAAATCCTAGTAAGGATTTACTAAGGCTCAGAAATATGGCCTCAGGTGCATTTTACACATAAAATATTACATCACTGAAGGGGAAAGGTATTAATGCTACCCCCAAGATGATATACTGAATAACTGGTCAGTTAATGTAACTTTATTCACCACAAATCAGGGTCAGACATCACAGTGTTGGGAAATTCAGGATCCCAGGAAAACTACGTTATGGGAATGTGTCATGGGATACATGAATCATTTTCTTTCTGGGAAAGACAGGCTGAGCTGCTGGTACAATACTCAATCTTGCCATTTGTATGCTGGTATGATTAACTTTCTCTTTCTAGCAGCAGAAACTCAGGTCCATAAGGTTCTATTTGGACAGTATGATTAACAAAAAGAATAGCTCTGTTACCAGGTTGTTCTGGAAACCAGACTCTGGGGCTGCATTAGCGGCACAAAGATTATATTCCTGCAGGGATCAACACACCAACATGATCTGATGGCCCAACCCAGACCTTGAACAGGGAGCTCCAGCAGCACACTAATATCTGTGCCTCAGCATGGTTTGTTATCTGGGAACACCCTGAGGTTGGCTACAACCATCCCAAAGTCATCATTTCACCAGCAGCTGGACCAGAGTCAGCTCCGATTTCTGGAGAAAGAAAAGGGATGGTTCAATCTGGGGGTGCTGCTGGGCTATGAGGCGTTATCTTACTCTGATCCTTTCCCTACAGTTCTGTTCAGTGCTCCCCTACAACACAAAATGTCCCCCTCCCAAAACAGCAAGAGCCCTGTGAAACTGCCAGTTGTGGGGAAGGAGAACCAGAGATCACCATAGCTTATTCAAGAAACAGAAAATATGACTGTTACCATCTAAACTTACGCCAGCCTAGTAGATCCAGAGAAGGACGTAGGAAGTCAGATTAAATTCCATCTTTTGAGAATCCATCATTCAGCATTCTGCTTTGGAAGCCCATGACTTATGGCACTGAACATAAAGACTGTTCTTTTCAGAGAAGAAGCTACTGCCAAAATGTCCATGTAGAAAATGGGAATAACAGTTTTAATTTAGCTTTTTTCTGCTTTATGTTCTGTCCATTTCTTTAACTAGAAAATTGCTATATTACCTGGAAAAAAATACTTTTGTATTTTGCTGCTTGAGGGGGAAAAGAGCTAATTAAATTTGTAAAAGTGGAAAATAATGTTAAGAGCTCTTTGTAAGGCTGTGGTTCTGACTGCTGGTGTCAGCTTTACTGCCAGTATGTGCAGATGGTAATGAATGAACTGCCATCAACCATCCCTTATTGTCCTAGGGCCCCACTCAGCTCATAAATGTCTTCACTGGTTATTATTTCCAATTATTTAGTGTTCAGTTGGTGAGTGCACTTCCCCAAACCAGCAGAGCAGGATAAGAATTGGCAGTTTCTCTTCCAAGCCCTCCAACCCAGCACTGAGAGGCTGCAGAGGAGGTGCTGCACCAGCCACAGGCGAGGCAACGTCAGCAATGAAACCAAGACTTTGACAGCTGAGTTGCTTGTACATAAATATGATTTTCCAGCAAGGGCCTGGGCTGCTGGGACCTATGTAACACAGAGCCAAAGCCAGGCCTGGCCCCAAGGGTGAGGCTGTGCAGGGTTGGTGGCTGTGCAGGTGGGTTTGAGCAGGGTGATGGAAGGTGGTGATTCTCCCAGTGGGCTCCAGGACTTTCAGATAATGCAATCAGACTTTCCACAGAACTTGCTGTACTGAATTTTGCATAGCCAGAGGATAGCATTTCTTCTCACAAACAAGGACATAATAGTCTTTTCCAGAACAAGAATATAAATGACTTTCCCAATAATAGTATTTGAAGCTGTGGGCAAATGTATTGTCTGCTCCCTGATTTACCAGCCTGGTGCCTGTGCTGGGTTCAGTTCTTCACAGTCGTCCTTAGAAACACTTCCTCTGCCTCTTTCAGTGTTAAAACACTGCGGTGACTTATGGAAACCACAAACAACCGCTGCACACTTTCTGTCAGTAATTCTTCATTTGTACCAACCGGTTCTTTCAGCCGTATCTGTAGTTTCTGTTTACTGCTCTGCAGCCTGTCTTGCCCCGACATCTCATCCCCAGGCAAAGGCAGCAGACAGAGGAGCTCTTCTCTGCCAGGCTGGTGGACATTGGCGTCCAAACCCTCCATCTCCATTTCTTCAGCTCTGGCACAGTATTTTCATGCCCATTAAGCCACGAGGGCTTAGCTGTGCCTGGCTCTCTGGCCAGCCAACACTCTCTCCTGAAGGAGCCTTCAAACCTCCTGGGGAACCCCAAGGATAGTTTCCCTTGGACTGCAGACTCCAAGAAATACCACCCTTTTCCAATTCTCATAAAGACAGAAAGAGTTTCTTCCTTGGTGTCTAACTCTCCTAAACACGTTAAGGTTTTCCTACTGGAGCTTGCTGATTTCCAAGCAGAGTTGCCTGCAAATATTTCCCTCAATTTCAACGCATTTTCCCTTGCACTGGAGCTATGGAAACAGTCGCAGGCTGCCAGCTTTCCTGGGTCACCTTTTGAGGAAGGCTGCAAATTCGTGTTTCCTGGGACTACAATTCCCAGAAGGCATTCTTATCTCCCCCCCCCAACCAGGAACCCAGGCTCGCTGGGTGTGTTGCTTCTTTCAAAAGGCTTCCTCCCGCTCTAACTGTGGAAGGGACAAGCTTTCCTGGAGCAAACTGTCCAGCACGGGTGTCTGGGCAGGAGGGGAGCACTCTGGGCACAAGGCAGGTCCTGCTGCTGCCACTCCGCATCTGTCTCAGCACAGCTCCGGTCACAGCTCTGTGCAGAGTCAGGGGGAGAGCATCTAAGGTCAGAGCCTGAAGGCACTGCTTCAACTTTCACATAATTACAGCATCCCAAGGGTGTTTAAAGGGCTGGCTGGTGTTAAATTAAGTGTTTTAGGGACTGCGTGAGAATGTTAGAAATGCCCTTCCCAGTCGTGTGTCTCCACCGAAGTCATATTTCACCCTGTCTGCTCTTAAGAGTCCACGAAATCCTCTTCTGTAGTCTCTGATCAGACACATTTGTGGCTCCTGCTTGAATGGTGATGCCAAATGCCCTGCTGGCTTCCTCCTCCCAGGGGAACAGTCTTAGGAAAGATTTTTAAAGGAAGGACTGAACTCAATGGCCCTAAGCAGTCTCCGTGCTGTTTCATGTGACGTGACTCAGTACCATACTTGGTCACTAAACGAGTCTTGGTGCTCCTAATTAAAACCATCTTTTGCCCAAACTATTGCTGTGCGAGGGCTGTCTCAGCCACTAAAGTGTCTCGGTCATTAATAGTGGTGCTGCAAATCTGTTTGGGGGGGAGCTGTAATCTCCTGAAGGGATCCTTGGTTTTTGCAATCAGAATGCAAAGGTGTTCCTTTTACAACATCCTTCTAAAGTCTGCCTGTCAAACCACTGAAAACTCATGACTTTGTCTGGAGTCACGAGGAGCCTCCCAGCAATCAGTGGAGTATGTCATCAGCAGCTTAAAGGTGCGAGGCTGGTGTTTGCAGTGCAGAGAGGTTAGGTTGGGTTTCCAGCAAGCCAAAGGAGTTGGGTAATGAGCAGCATCATGTGTTCACTGCTTTAAAAATGCAGTGGCACTTGGGGTGGAAACGGGAAAAAGTCAGGCTGGTGTTTCACAAGTAGCACACTTTTGCCCCTGTGCACAAGGCAGGATGACTCAGCTGCTCTAACTAACTACTGATAGCAGTAGTTTGTTGAAATAAATACTGACCTTCAAACAACTGCTATCACTAATGTAAATAATAGCCTAAATACGATAAACCTAACCCTTGCATGTTTTTTTTTCTCCACTGTTCTGGAGGTTTTTTCACTTGGATCTCTCCCAGGAAACCTCTGCATCCCTTTTCATCCGTAATGGAGCTTCAGGAGAGCTTTGCTCTGTGGGTTCAGCCTGACAAAAGCGACAGTGTCAGGAATTAGAAGACAGAAAAGTGATTCAGAGTAAAAATGAGATGACCTTGCAAAAACCTTGATTGAAGTACTTCTGAAGAGTTTATAAGAAATATCCCCACTTGCCACCTGTGTGCACAAAAATTTGGATTTGGATGCCTAAATATGCCAGTATTTGGACACCTGCATATGCCACAACTATAGTGCTTGGTGACTGTGGGGAAGGAGTGTGCTCCCTCCCCAGTTAGTTCTTAGAAAGCCTCCTGGGCCCAGCTGCGTCTCTGTGGGAGCATGATGCTGTGTGCATGAGCACATGGCTCCCCTGGGACCAGACAGGCACCAGAGGCAGCAGAAGAAAAGCAGAACCACCCTGTCAAGATATTTTAGCAAATTTGAAACAACCCAGTGGTTTCATACCGGACGAGCACGCTGTGTGGTGTTGTGAGCCAGCACTTGCAATCCTGGAGCACCTTCTCTGCCTTCACTATGTAGCCTCTGACTTCCCTGCCTCTATTCACCCACTTTTAAAGCAATGTGGATACCCTCATAGCACAGATCAGTTAAAAACAATGAAGAGTGGCTGGCCAGAGCCCTAGTTTAGCCTGGTTTTCTGAAAACTGCAGATTTTACCTTTCCACGTAATAAGGTTAGATGCAAGAATTTTTTTCCCACTGCTCTAAGAAGTCACTTCTTCCTACCTTAAATATTGAACTACTTATTAAAACAGAAGAAAAAAAAAAGGCCATGAGCTGCTGGCTATTGGGTCCTTCCGTGTAACTCTAAAGTGACGGAAGGAGGAAGCAACTCAGAGCTGGAGCCGTGCCGGGCGATCCTGCGCTGCTGCTGGATCACTTCACCCACTTTTGGGGTATCTGCCTCCCAGAGCAGAGGTGCTGCCTCAGAGGTCCTCTCTGAAGGGCTCCAGAACTGCTGCATCCACAGCACAGTGCTGGGATTTCACGCTGCTGGCTGGGTCCCACATATTAAAGCCCACGGACAGCCTGTCACATCATTCCTGGGGACTCCATTTCAGATCCAGGTAAGTGCCAGCTGATTGGAGCAGGAGTTTGCCAGGGCTGGATCGGTGGGGTACTTATTGTCTTGAGGTTTAATTTTGGGAATTTCACGAACAGCAGGAGAAAGTGATGTGAAGTCATCCTCTGCCTCATCAGCTTAACTCCACGCCTGACTCCAAAGCATAGTTTTACCTTAAATGCGGGAGGAACAGCAGCTGCCAGGAGATAAGAGTGTTTGGATCTGGGATGGGCAGTTTGCTCAAGGCAGTCCTTGGTTAAGTAAGTCAATACTAAACACTGAGGTTCAGCTCTGAATCACACCCAGCTACAGCCTCCACTCCCGAAAACTGTCCTGGAGATGTTTGGTTATGGGGAGAACCCAAAGATTTGGAAACAGGTGTCCTCTGAAGCAGCTTTTCAGGTACACATTAATGCAAATTCCAAGTAAATGCTGGTCATTTGCATAAGGACCTGTCTGGAGAGATGCCAGGAAAGGTGCTGGGACCCCAAATAAATGCCAGCCCTTTTATGAGTGCAGAAACCTCCGGTGTCCTGAGCTGGAAACCAAGAGCTGTGGAGCAGATGAGAACCAAACTCTTCTCATTCATGTCATCCAGCTACATGTGGGAGAGGCAGAAAACTCCTAGCAACAACCTTCCTCCGATTTTGCTGAGATAATTGGGTAACCAGGTGTCCATTATGGATGGGCAGAAAGTTAAAAACTAAAGACAGTGAAAAAAATAAAGTAAAACCTAAGTGGCCCATCTCTGGGTGTGTGTTACCAGCTGCTGAACGTGATACTTACAATTAAATTGCTGAAGAACCGGTTCTGGGTCAGGTTTATGTTCCCTCAGTAAGTGTGACAGAGGGTAAAACAGGAATTTGGCACTTCAGGGCCACTCTCATTTGAAGGTTTAATAAAGACTGACACTTCTGAGGCTGTGTGCTGCTGGCTGCTCTGTCTGTGAGTGTTCTTTATGTTTTTGTTAACCATTTTCAGAACTCTAATAGTGGAACACCGATGGCCGGCGAAGGGATTGTAAAAATGGGCTGAAATGCAAAAATTTTCAGTGCTTTTTTCTTTAACATTTTCCTCTGTTTCAGGAGTACCTGATGTCTTAGATGGGCAAATGGGCGTTGTGCACACGCTGGTAAACACTGTCCTGCTCCGCATGCTGATCCCAGCTCAGATAAACACTTGTGTCCAGTTACTGCCTTCACAACTTCCATGTGAAAGCGACTCATCCCGTGCTGTACACTTGGATATTTCTATCTGCTGAGCGTGCTGAGATTTGTAATGCTCTGCTCTTCCCAGATTTATGGATAGAATTAAAAGAAGGTGGGAATATACCCCCAGCCGTGCTCTTCTGAGGGCTGTGCAGCTCCTGTGCTGGTGAGTATAAACAGAAACAATTGGCTGGACTCTGCTGGGGTTTTGTACTTTAGGTTTGGTCTTTCTTTAATTGTCTTGTGGATTTTTCACTTGTCCTTCCTTTTTCAGTTTTTACCCTATGGCAAAGCCTGGTTTCACATGTTTTACTTGAACTGTGCAAAATGACTGGAAGTTGGGGGAAAAAAAGAGGAATAGAGAATTATGCTACTGGTTTTAGTGGAGAGATTGAGCAAACTGGGATTGATCTGGGGAACTGGGACTGATGGCAGCTTTTAGTTTGGTCTGCACTCTGGGAAGGTAGCACAGAGCCTTTTTGCATATGTGCTGGTTAAAGAGTAAAATTACATTTTTGAAACTAACTTTATGCTTCCTGATGGATTTTCTGAAGGAAAAATAAAACCTTTCTCATGTACCTTGTGCTGAGGGGTAGGATCTGCCCCAGCCTGTGTTCTGCTTCCTGTTTTGTGCAGTGCCACAGTGTCTGGGGGGTTTTTCCAGCTTATGGTGTCTCAAAACTTTCATTACTTATACAACCCCATTTTTTCCTGTTGAGATCCATCCAATAGGCCACAACACAAAGATCCTCTTTCCTCCAGCCTCCCTACGCCTGAGTTGCCAGCGAGATGGTGTGTGCAGTGTTGTGGGAGTCAGGGTGGTGGCCAGCGGGGCAGAGCCATCCTGGCTGCTCAACTCCATGGCCCCAGCACAGGGACTTCAGCAGAAGCACTCACTGCTGAGCGTGTGAAGGAGCAAGGTCTGAGAGCTGCCTCCAGCTCTCCAAACTCCTCCAAAGGAGTCATCTTCTGATTTACAGGAGTCAGGAGCTGGGGAGACACTAAT